TTTGCGGTAGCGTCCACAAATGACCACTAGCGACCATTATCGTCAGCGATTAGGAAAGTATAGACATAGATTCAGCGAACGGCAGCGTCTAGCAGCGTTCGCCAGCGACCTCGATCTAGCGTCTACTAGGGTCCACCAGCGACCAGGAGTACGGCATTATGTAGTAGTACGGTGCGGTAAGGCACGCCAAAACTTCACAACCCCTAATCCTGCTGTCTCCTCCCTCGTACTTTCCCCATACTCTACCAGCACTCTGCTACCCTCCTGATTCATATATGTACTCTCTACTCCTGGTCGCTGGTGGACGCTGGTAGACGCTGGTAGACGCTGCCGTTCGCTAGATCGATATCTATACTTTCCTAGTCGCTGACGCTGACGGACGCTCGAAACGCTGATGGTCGCTGGTGGACGCTGCCGCAAAGTATGAACGCAGCTTAATGGCGGGGACACTTGACCGCGCTTCTGTATCCCTCAGAAAGCTTGAACGCAAACGACCGGAGTTGCCGAGAGATAGCGCTGCAGAGAAGATGTAGTCTTCGCTAAGTCTTAGCTTTGGTTATCGAAAGGGATACGCTGGAGAATGGTCTCCCTCACCCCCCCCCCTTTCTCCCTACTAGTTAACGCGGTTCTTGCCATGAAGGGTTGCATATGAACCTCTTTAATGTTCATGACTAGATATAGTTCTCAGTCGAGTAAGCGACCATAACTGAGTAATGGAGCTCTCAGACCACGGTAGTCGCGTTTGCACATGAGGTTTTTTAGACCTCCATCTCGGTTTTCGCGCGATTTTATTCCAATCTCATGTTGAACGGCACTTACATTAGTGCTGAAAGATAAGAGGAAATGATTGTGAGGCAGGCAAGTTGAGGGAGATGGTCGTACAGTCTTGTTGATTCTACATACGTGCTGGGGCGTGTCAAGGCGCCGAAATTGGCGAGGTGCCAACCTGTTCTTCACCAGTTGTGGACAATGACAAGCCCAAGCATCCGCAGCGAACAAGACTGAAGGATAGGAAAGGCGGGTCGCAGCAGATGAAAGAACTAGCGAAGGAGGGGGGAGTCGCACTGACACCGCCACTTCTTACATGACGATGCTGTACCCTACCTCCAAAATGCCTGATCATTTATTCGAGCGCCGAATTTTAATCACCGCAGAATGAACGGAATAGCTGAAACTGTGAGTTTTCAGTAAGCTTTCTGAAAGGAACACAAATGTTGAATAAAAGATAAAAGGATAAAGTCTTCGCCATTAATGAAACCCTTTTGGGATGCAGCACGCTGCAAGGGCCAGCCGACGAACAGGTCAGTCTTATTATCCTCACAGACGGTCTGGTACCATTTCAAGGGATCAGGAGGATTGAAGGCCTGGTTGGCTGGGACGTAGCCTATCCGAGATTTGACTCTCGGAGACGGCATTCGTGGTAAGATGTCACCTGTCACTATACCAGCCCCGCCTCCTACACCACCTCCGCCGTCAAACGATAAATAACTACTGGAACTTTACAAAATTCTGACCGTTCTATCAGTTATAAAAATATTTGCAAACGTCAATGGGATTATGAATAGTTCCGCGGTAGGGAATAGGGAAATAAAAGTTGATTCGGGAGACAGGCGATGATCTTCCTCCAGATCTGGAAGATAAATCAATTCTGTCAATCATATCGTAATCAGAGGTAACGGATGTCCACTTTGCAGAACGAAGATGCGTTTTACAAGAGCCGATTACCCCTATTCAGAAGAGCTTATCTACATGGCTAGTCCCATAGACTTATTTTCCAGTTCCACCGAAATGTGAGGCAATGCAAAATTTCTACTTCTTTGTACTCGTATTTTCTCCTACACTACAAATTATGAAAAGGAAAGAGCCTTCGACGCTATTTAACCATTTTCTGGCACGAGCCATGTACTCTACTAGGTTTTCTCATAATCTTTGTTCAAATTCAAACACTTCTGTTCATTCATTTCCCATTTTTTTTCTCGTCAGCTGATTCCGCAACCTGTATTCATCTGTATCTTGACATGTTTTGTAAAAATTTGCAAAGTTTGCTGTATTCGCATTGTATACGTCGTTGTACGTTGGTTTCGGATTCTTATATTTCCAACAACCTTGATCTCTGTCCCTTTTATCAAGCTCATGCTCAGTCAGTGCACCTCATTGATTGGGGATTTTGG